ATATGAGGTTGGTGATTTTTCCTTTCTCCTTGAATGTGTGTGTAATAAGACTACACATTTTTCATTAATTTTGTACAATTCGGGTATTAACTGATTGTCCAGACCAAAAGAGTGTCGGAGTCCATTGTTTTATGATAGTCCCTATATTCTGTCTTATTATTTAGTAAAAGGGTACAGTTTTCGAAGACCACGACTGCACCACGCCTCGAGTATAGTGAACAGTTTGTCTTCATTTTTAATTCTCTTTGGATTTACCCTTACGTTGTCCTCATGCATTCACATTCGGACCTGACTCTCGTTTTGATATATCCAGGTTTCATCCAAAAACATTAATACCAAATTTTGATTTTGGTGAAAATGTTCCAGAAAACTCTTCATAAATGAAATTTTTAAAGCATGGGGTATGGAGTTGTCCACAGAGAATATTCTTGTTATGCACATTTTGTATTTGAAGCCCATAGATTTTATAATGTCAAATAAAATAGGAGTGCGTATTATGTGTAAATTTTTGTGAACTTAAACATTTTGCGTCAAAAAATTGAAGGTTCAATTTATTGTCTTACGGTTTCTACTGATGAAAGAAATTGACGAATGTGTCATAAATATTTCTTCCACCTGGACCACTGGTACTTGTACTGGGCATGCCATATTCTTTGGAAGTCCCTTGCACCATCCTTACAATTCTTTTTTTATCAGAAATGGACTCCTCCACATGCCCCTCAACCACCATGGAGGACTTCCATCCCCCATGGCGCTTTAGAGTTAATATATCGCTTCCATTCATTGTCTGCTAAGATGGCGGCAGACGTTCACCATCGGCTGTGTCCGCACTGATAGTGACCCATACTCGGTCTAGTCGGTTTTCCGGATCTAAAGCCAGTAAACACTCTTTCCGTATTTGAAGATGGCCGTTTGGTAAAATTTTTTTTAATAATCTCAACCCATTACGGTTCCACAAGTACAAACTTTCTCAACGTTTTTGTTTTGGTGGATGGGATGTTCGAGAGGTACCTCTATACCTATTAAAAATACCACCTAAAAGTTTAATATTACCCACTATTTTCCAAAAATTTACCATCAAATTGCGGAATTACCTTAATAGAAAGAACATCGTCATCAGGTGCCTCCAAAATAAATTTTAATATCTGCTTTTTGTCTAAAACTGCAGTATTTTTTGGTATGTAACTATTACTTTTTCTTTTTAGAAACGCAGTAACTTTATAATACTTTAATCTTTCAATATGTTCCTTTGTCTTTAAAGTTTTTGTTAACATTGAGAATATATCCCACGAAGTGGAGGCTTTTCTATTTGGAGCTTTTTCTTGGAAATAATACTAGTAATAAATACATTTTCACTAACGTGCGATACCTGTTTCGATTGGTACCAATCTTTAAAGCAGAATAACTTTTATTGTATAATTGTTTTGATTTTTCGGGCAACAAATGGTTGATTTCAATGTTTTTTGCTTCTTCTCTAATTTGCGGAAGGGTTCCGCTTACACTTTTTATATTTGCTGTATCTTCTATTACCCTTCTCCTTTGTAAATGTCAAATTACACTGTTTGAAACTCAAATTGTTCCAAAGCCTACCAAATTTTGCGCAACTAAATAAATAATGTAAATTATAAAAAGGGGACAAAATCCTCCAATAGTGAAAAAATGGTAGATAAACCACAGTAGAGAACAATTTTCTTAGCCTCTCTTTCGACGCTTTACTTCTCGGGAAATAATACGCTCAGCTAAGGAAATTTCTACCGTGATGTACATACAGGGTCATTATAAAATAATGTAGTCAACTCACCTATGAAAAACAAATGAAATTTTTCTCGTGCCGCTAATCACCAAAATGATTTGAACTGTTTTGAAATGTCACGAACGTCCAAAAAAATCTGTCAGATGTGTCAAAAATTGAAATGCCCGGTTCGCGGTTTACTTTCATTTTAAATAGACACGAAAATACGCCAGAGGTTGCAATGTTGTCGAGCAATTGTGAACGCTACTGGAACTGCATGGCTAATTGGCTACTGCAACATATTTGAATTTGACCTTCAAAAATTGTAAATTGTCAGAAAAGCGTTGAAGGCATGTTGAAGGGCTTTGTCATGAATTACACCTTGGAAAGTCGATTGGAGTTAAATAGAATAAATCGTCTGGTCTGTTTTACAAAGAAACAACAATTTTTCAAATAATGAAATCCAAAAAGTGAGGTTAAATTTGTCGAAACCAATGAACACGGTAATTAATAAAAAAATACATTTTTATAGGTCCTCTGAAGGTAAAAATTGTGAAAAATCACGTAATAGATAATGACAGAGCAAGTCTTATTACAATTAAAGTACAGTACCACTGTTTTAAAATGACAGTGAGTAGTTTTTGCGGTAAAACTTTACAAAAGGCACTTCTTGATTTCGCACAAACTGTTTGCATACACAACTCTTCAACAGCACCTCCTGATCACGTTCCTCGTCTTCAAATGTTGTCAAATGCTTCCATCTGCCACAAAGAAATTGATAAATTTCCTGTTTGTACACTTTACTCGGAAGCTGTCCCTAACATAACCTAACTATTTTTAGTCACCAACACGCGGGTAATGTCGGGTTTTTAATGGACACACTGCACCCCATTACAAACATACCCCTAAACGTGGAACTTCTTACTCCATAGATCATTTAGTTATTGGAACTCGTGCGAGTTAAATTGCATGTGTAGTTGGTTTTCTACATTTGGCGCAACTAATAGTGTGGAAACCATAGGGCGAACACTAAATATTTTTTTTTGTGACACAAGGAAGCATTTGCACAACTTTTGTAAGTGAGGAACGTGATCAGCCGGTGCTGTAGAAGAGTTTTGTGCAAAATCGCGAAGTGCCTTTTGTAAAGGTTCACCGTTTTGGCATTAAATAATTTTGCTAAAATTGTAATCACGCGAAAGTTCAGTTTGTAAATTGTAAGGAATCGTCAAAACATTGTGCAGACGTGGTTTGTAAGCAGTGCTTTTCTCTTGAAATACCACAACTGAAAGCCTTCATCTTTGTTCCTACAATAGGTGAAAACTGCCATGTCTAAGCATTATCTTCAGCTTTGCAGTTTCTAGATATATGAAACATGCGAGATCTGTATAACAGGAATGTCAAAGAAGTTCTACCCAAAACACGCCCACATGGTCATCCTAATATCAAGATTTTTCAAAATTCCTATAATAAAAAAGATGAAACAATAAAGTTTCAGGAGCATAGTGTTAAAGATTTCTGTAGATGATTATGAAACCTCTTGAAATAACAGAATGTTTAATAAAGATTTTTAACCTTCCTAATAGTAAAGTTACAATTATTACTAAACAGTAAGTTGAAATTTTAAATTAAGAGAGAATGCAACTACCACAGAAAGAAAAGTGAAAGTTACTGATGATAAAAAACTTTACTACAGGACCTACATACACTTTTTCCATCTAATTTTGTTTATTGATCACATACATTTACTTAGCACAAATGTAATGAAATGTAAAATACACATGTATGTTGTAATAACCCAAACATTCCGCCAAAATTGGAACATGCGCATAAAATTTGAAAACCCGCGAAAATTTCGAAAAGTGGCCATGAACTGTGATCGTCAACAAAATGGGGACCCTACGTTGTGTTTTGAATGGTGGAATGCGTTCGGATACAAATTGGCGCAATGAGGAGCGGGAAGAGTGTAGGAAGTCAAAGTCAGCGCTGAAAGGGAACATCTTTTATTCAATTTTGGTAAAAAGAGATTTGAACTGAAATAGAATATTTAAGTTTACACATACAACAAAACAATTGGCTGAACGTTGGTTCCTCTTAAGAGAGAGGACAAAAGCTGTGAAATAAACTTGATGAGCATATTTTCCCAGCTGCAAAACCCCTCCATCTTTTATGAAAACAATTATAAATTTAGTTATAATATTTTCAAAATCCTAGCAGTGACATACAATGAAAAAAAAAAACAGTTCGCGAAAGCTCTAGCTAAAGTAATTGGATGGCCATGCCACAGTTGTGATAGTGGCGTGTTAGAAATTCTTTTCTTTTCAGTCAGCAGATAACAGAAACATAATTTAATTCAATAAATTTAGAAACAGGGGGTGTGTAGCGCTAGCGGTTCTAGACCTTGTCTTTTGACCGTGGTTTTCGCTCTAACCAGCTACGTACAATCAAGCCACTGTGCCACCCCAAACGTCACGCTATCTCCATCCTGTGTTCGCCGGCGTCCGAGGCAGCGGCGGCAAGTATTATCCCGTAACTTTACTCCCTCCACCGCGGGACACACGACACTGGCTCCCACCACTAAAGTTTCCTTTACCAGCAAGACACCCTCCGCATATCCCGTGTTGGCGGCATTCGGTATTGCGAGAAAAACAGTCATACGAATGAAAGAAAAATCATCAATTTGAATTTGGGCCGCTCCCCGCTCTCGCCAAACAACCCCGAACATTTTCTGATTAGACAAATTTTAGTTTTAATATCTTTGAAACTTGAAGAACTATCAAACCCAAACTAAAATTGTGGATATTGCAACAAAGTTTAAGTACGCCACATTTGTCAAGGACTTTTACCCAATCGAGAATTAATTCGTTAAAATGTGAATGAAACGGAAAACTGCACATAAAATAAAGCCGACAAAAATACATACGAACATGTCAAAAACAACACAATAAAATATGATGGTTGGTACACATTGCGCTTTGAATGTGTGCTTTTCAAAATGGTAAATATATGTAGAATTCACATGGTAACACATAAGTCATAACATAAAACAGTGGTCCAGCTTTCTGTTACTAATTGAGTAATAATTTTTGAGGTCAATCGACATTTCTCTGCTGGCTAATGCAAAAATGATCTGGGAGCGCGGATTTTCCAGATTAGCGCCGCCCATTAAAATCGTCTAGCCTAAACATTGATAATCTTGAGCGAGCCACCTGCACCCCCCCCCCCCCCCCCCTTAACGATTAAATATTGATTTGAAATTGCCCTAACATGAAAATTTGAAAAAAAGTGGCAACTGGGGAAAAACCATCCAAAAACCTTGGATATAAAATTAATGAAATTGAATTGCATCCTAACTAATGAATTGCCTGAAAAGCCCTGCGACAACGGTTTACTGATACTGAAAACAAAACTAAGAAAATGACGATCACGTGCGACGAACGTCTGGAGATCTTCTACAGCGGGCCCCGGGTCGTAGCTCGGCGATTTCCACACCAAAACGGCATTCTGGGTGGTTCGCACCAGGTACATAGAGAAGCGGAGATTCGCGTTAGAATAATCTCGCAACAATGTTCAACTAAAGAACCATGCACTCAAGAGCACCAGCTTGCATCCAAAGAAAGATAATTAAATAAGCACATACCTGTCCAATTCGACCAAACGCCCAGCGTTCTGACCGCCCCAAACGTTCCTCCCTCCGCGAGCGAAGAAGCGATTTTCAGCCCCACGGAAGACGGCAGCGGTGGTTGGCGGCTCCAACGACAAGGGGGAAAAGTCCAGGTGACAGTCGGGGTGAAAACACAATGAATAAACTGAAACAATAAAACACAGACAGAAAGCGCTCTGTACACAATTGTAAATACAACCTCTTGTCTGATGGGTGTTAAAAAACTAACTGCCGCCACCGGCAGTCGGTTGGGCGCGCTTTTCTTTAAATTTAAATACAAAGTAGGCCACTACAATGTATTTTATAAAAGATGTTGAAAATGTTGTCCATTTTCCCGCAAACACAAAGCCACTCTTCTTTTTTTATTTTCAAAAATGTCCTGCAATACTTCTTCATTGAGATTTTCATTACAAAAACGTGTAATTTTATCCATTAATTTTTCCAATGTGTGGATTCTATTCTTATAAATGCTGTCTTTCATCCATCCAAACACTGAAAAATCAAGTGGAGTCAAGTCAGGAGATCGGGGGGGCCACTCTGGATTGGCTCTTAAACTTATTATGCGGTCATCATAAAATTCTTCCAAATATCTTAAATTTTCTCTTGTCGTATGAGCTGTAGCACCATCTTGCTGAAAATAACCAGACTCTAATTCTTCAGGCAATAACTGATTCAGAAACACATCCAAAATTTGCTCCCTGTATCTCGCCGCATTAATTGTCTCTTGAAAAAATATCGGGCCTATGAATCGTCGTCTGGAAACAGCTAACCGCACACCGACCTTCATTGCGTGTAATGGTGTTTCTTCAAAAGCGTGAGGATTTTCTGTACTCCAAATTCTGAAGTTCTGTGAGTTGACGTAGCCGGACAGATGAAACCAGGCTTCATCAGAAAAGAACGACAAATCAAGAATCCTGTTATCGTCCCAATTAGCTTGAAACCAATGACAATACTGGACGCGGCGAGGAAAATCTGCTGGTTGCAGCTCCTGAACCAACGAAATCTTATATGGATGCATATGTAACTTCTTTTTTACGACTTTCTGGCACGTGCTGTATGGTACTCCGGACTGTAAAGACAGTTTTGACAAAGATTTCTTCGGACTTTGCTCCATTCTCGTCCTTAAATCGTCAACAACGTCTTCACTAACTTCAGGTCTCCCCGTCGGTTTTCCCTTAGAGACGCTACCAGTGTCGTTAAATCTTGCCACTATTCGCCGTATGTGTGTCTTCAAAGATTCTTCCTCGATGGCAACAGGATATTTCACCAGATACTCGTCTTTACAGGCATCCACAGAGTACACCCAGTCTCCATCCTCATTTAACACCCCATTTTACCGTAGGACATCACTATGAAGATGTTTTGCTCTAAAGAATAAACCATCCTAATTCTTAACCTAAAAAAGTCATTTGTAACACTGACTATAGGTATTCCTCTGTGTTCATTACCTGAGATTATTCCACAATGATCTGTAGTTTTGATAAAAACTGTTTTTTGAGACACTTAAAGTTCGAACAAAGGGGAAGACAGCAAATGATAACAACAAGACAAGTCAATTAACGCACAAAATGTGGAAAAGCGCACTAGTAATCAGTAGAAACGAAAAAATTGTTGACATCCGACAGAATCTGATGAAGCGTTGGCGCCGAAACAGTGTAGCCACTAATGTGGCGTAAAAAATAAAAATTCCAATATTAGTGTAATTCTTTCCACAAAACTGAAAAAGGCGGCACATAATGTCACCAAAATCATGGCCTTCTTCGACTACAATATTTTATAATGACCCTGTATAATTACTACTATAATTGCAAAGGAATACAAATAGTAATTGTACACAAAAGGTTTAAACATAAATATAAACATAAATATGGCTAGAAATTTAACAGCACACTGCACTGTTTCACAATGTACTCGCTACTTGGTTCTTATTATTAAGACCCACCACTGACCCGGAAATGACCGGCATTCAGGCAAAACTTCTATCATTACGGGTACTAAGACCAAGTAATGATATGGATTGATTAGATTAACAAAACAACTTTCGAGATTCTTGAATTACAGCATACAAATTAGTCTGCTATTATTTTCTAATCTCACCCCATCCCCAAAAATCTAGCGTAACTACCGATCATTTATCCGCGCATCACTTGGAAAGTGACCTACACTACTCTGACCTACTGGTGCTAATCTAATCTGACTGACATGATCAGACTGTTCGAGAAACTTACGAACAATATGACATGTTCCTAACAAAACAGCTTTTTGAATTTTGACAATTATTGAATCATTCAAATGCAAAGACTTTAAATTCTCAACTAAGCTATTTGGGACTACACCTACATTAGAGATAACTAAGGGTAGAATTGAAATTTTTTTAAGATTCAACATGGATTTCATTTCTATCGATAATTGTAGATATTTTGAAATCTTGGTGTGGTATGTTTGAATAATGTTGTTTGTGTTAGGAATAGCAATGCCAATGAGAATGGCTTCGTTTGTGCGTTTTTTGATAATTATGATGTCTGGTATATTAGCTGTAATGTTTAAGTCTGTAAGTATTGTGCGATCCCAGTATAATTTGTATTTGTTATTTTCAAGGAACGGAGATGGAATGTAAGTGTAATAGGGTGTCGTATCTTCGATTAAGTTTCTTATATTCGGATCTTTGATGATGTATTTTCTGTAATTCTTGGTATTGATTACTTGGTCTTGAATAGCAAACACAAATCCTTCTGTTTCGGCATAGAAACTTGATTTTTTTAACCAAATCAATGACATCTTGTTGACATGAGTTTCTTCTAAGTCTTTGTAGAATTTTCCATGTAGTTGTTTTTGTTTTAAGTCCACTTATTATTTTGTCTATTGTGTGGGGGTGTGGATTTCTTCGGTGTTCGACAGATTTAAGGGTGTGTGGTTCAAATCTGCCCTTGTGATGGTGCGAAACACTTCATTTCTTTCCGCTCGTTTCAAGAAATACTTCTTCAGATCTGAGATTTGTCTCTGATATAAGTTTTCTAGGTTCTGGAAACCCCTTCCTCCATTCTGTCTTGGTAATGAGAATCTTTCAATGGACGATTTTGGATGATGCCTTCTATACTGATGAAGATTTTCCTTGTTGCGATGTTTAAATTTTCAAGATCAGTTTTGGACCATTTAATGACTCCAAAAGAACATGTTAGCAGTGGAACGCAGAATATATTTACTGCTTTCATTAATTTTTTTCATTTAACTGTGTCTTCAATATTAATTTTAATCTCGCTAGCTATTGATCTTTCAATTGTGTTTTCGTTTTGGTATGATTGATGTGGGAGGATTGACAGAAACCCAGATATTTGTATGTATCATTTCGTTCTTGGGCTTCGATTATTTCGTTATTCTGGGTTGTATGTGGTACTTGTTGTTGGACGCCTTTTCTGCTTGCTTGGGTCTTACATTTCTCAATACCAAAACACATACCAGTATCACCAGAAAATTCTTCAGTCAGATTTAATAGGTTTGTTAACTGATTTTGTGTACTTGCATATATTTTTATGTCATCCATATACAGCAAGTGACTTATTCTGTTTTCTCTTTGTTTGTTAATTCTTATATTGAACCCATAATTGCAGCTGTTCAGGATATCGGAGAGGGGATTTATGGCTAAGCAGAACCATAACGGGCTAAGAGAATCGCCTTGAAAAATTCCTCTTCGGATCATTATTGGATCTGACTGAATTGTTTGTTCATTGAAGGTTATTTGGAGGGTGGTCTTCCAAAATTCCATGGAACATTTGAGAAAAGTGCAGATTTTAGTATCAATTTTGTATAATTCCAGAATTTTGCATAGCCAGGAATGAGGGACAGAATCGTAAGCTTTCTTATAATCAATAAAAGCAGTGTATATGTTTCGATTTTCTTTTCTAGCTTGTTCACAGATGATGGAATCTATGATTAATTGCTCTTTGCAACCAAAGGATCCTTTAATACATCCTTTCTGTTCTTCATTAATGATGTCAGAGTTAAAACAGTGTTGATAGATTTTTAGTGTAATGCATGAGGTTAATATTTTATTGTCGGTAAACATGTGATAGGTCTGTATTTTGATGGATTTTTTGTGTCGGTATCTTTAGGTTTTAGGTATGTTACACCATGACATAAGAATGTTGGAAAGGAGGATGGGTCAAGAAGGAACTGATTTAAGTGATTTTTATCCAAAAATTATGGATTTTGTCTGGTCCTGGTGATTTCCAGTTGTGTGTCTTATTGATGGTATTTATTAATTCGGCAAGTGTTATCTGATGATCATTCATTGGTGTAACTGTGGATAGTTTATGGGATATATGAGGAATCCATTTGGCAGATTGGTTAAATTCAAATTCTTGAGACCAAAGTTTAGACCAAAATGTTACATTCTGTGAACTTGGAAATTCACCGGATAGTTGAGTTTTGCTTGAATTGTTAAATGTTGATAGAATAGTTTTTCGTTGTTTAAAAATTTAGTGTTATGAATTTTTCTGAGATGTGATTGTTTGTATCTTTTAAGTCTTTTGCTATATAAGCAAAGCTTTTGTAATAGGGTATCTTTAATTTGGGATAGTGTTGTGTTGTGTTGTACTCATCGTAATCAGTTTGATGAAAATTATTGTTGGTCAGTATCGAATGCATACATGTCATGAAATGTGGTGTTTTAACTCCTCTAAGGTACTGTGTTATTTGACCTAGTTGTTTTCTAATGTTATTAATTTTATAATTTAATCGTGTTTCCCAATGAGGGGTGGAGGGTATATGATTGGTGTTTGTATTTATTATGTTATCTTTACATGTGTTAATTTGAATACAAGTTAAAGCTACACAGTAGATAATTGTATGAAGTTTTTCAAAAGAGATCGAGTTTGTGAGATATTTTGGTAAAATGAAGGAGTTCATTATTTCTACAATTGCCAGAAACTTTTTAGAATAACACTGGCGGGGAAGTGAATGTCTATCATTTGGTTTTAATTTAGAACATGTTTCGAAAGTTAATTTAAATTGGTCTTCAATTTCATTTTGGAAATTAATGTGAAATTTAAAATTTTTGTTTACAGTTTTGATTAATGTGTCTTCGGTGTTGTAGTACGTGTTTTGTAGATTATCTGGGATGTTAATTTGGTTTTGGATTGTTCTTGATAAATTGTTAAGTGATTTGTCAGTTAATGTCTGGGATCTGTTTGATAGTGCGTTGGTAATTTGTGTTATGCTTGTGATCTTATTTGGAGGTGTTTTGTTTGACAAATCTTTAGTAAATGTGTCAGTCGGTTTCTGTCGTGTATTTGATAGACTACTGTTACTATTTTGTGGTATCATTGGGATCTTATTTTGAGATGTTGTTTTTGACAAATTGGTGACAGATGTGTTAGTCAGTAATGTATTTGGTGGTGTGTTGTTGACATTTTCAGGAAGTGGATTAATGATTTTGGAAAGTTCATTTTTTAATTGTTCTAGAGTAAGTTGAAGTATGTAGTTATTTTTAACTATAGCTCTACGTTGATCTGTTAAATTTTGAATGGTAACTGGAAAATTTGGGTACTCATGGCTGAAGGCTTCGTGTAGAACTCTACGATTATTACTTACATCAGTTTCATTGTTTGTAATTTTATAATATAAGCGCATAATATGTAAATTCATGTCTAGAGACCACTTTTTACGCTTTTTTGTCTACTAATGGTCTGAGGCTGATTTGTCTAAGAAACATTAGAGACTAATAAGCTGTTAATTGTCCTTGTGGTGGTATTTCCCGAGGTGATGCCACTTGTTCCATCGACCTCTTCGGAGACTGCAGTAATAGGTGTTAGTCGAATTTCGAGTTGAACATTCTCCGTTGTAGGCGAAACAATTTGGTTTAGACTTATTTTTTAATTGGAAATGTCAGCGTTGACAGTTGATTATGAAAAAAGGAAATTAAATGCAAATATCGAGTTAAATAGGTGGTTTTAATAGTAAATACAGTACCTTGCACTATTATGAGTCCTTTTGAGTCAAATAAAGGTATTGAATTGAGTTTTATCCAAAGATTCCGCCTTGTTAAGAAATTTACGAACAACCAAAGGTCACCTTTTTTTTTATTATTATTAATATTAATATTATTATTTTATCAAAACAGCGTAAACGAATTTTATTTGTTTGAAATTTTGATAACATTAAAAAGAACCAAGTGTTCGTCTACAGTTTGAGGCATCACAAAAAATTTTTGGTAAGTACAGTTTAACCACTGATCTGGGCATTCAAGGAATTATTCTCATAATTATTGTTTGATGAATGTCATGAAATTCATAATGCAGTCTAAGTGCGCTCTAACAACGAAATATC